AAGTCAAAGTGTACATTTCAACCTCATTCAGGCTTGTCACAGTCCTGTAGTCTGTATGAAAATATTATTATGTCGTCACAGGTTGGTAAACATATGACCTTGGGTTGAACAAATGCTTTAAAATTTTTTACGTCAGTGCTGAGTGACGACCACTTGGCCGCACTGTAAGACTGCAGCTGCAAGGTTGTTGTTGTTGTTTGTTTGTTGATCAGCTTTATTGAGGCAATTATTCAACAAGTTTACAAACCTAAACTGCAGCTGCATGTCTGTCAGAACACATCAGTATTGATATTAATCTATGAAACAGATGCTGTTTTGCACGTCGTCCTGATGAGAGGATTTCACAGAGTTTATACGTAACTGATGAGGCTTTATTTTAAATACACAGTCGTAACAGTAGTTGATAATAATTAAAAATGATAATAGAAAATATTTCATGTGTTTTACGACAGTTTCACCATTGAAATCTTGTTAAATGTGCCCTGAGCTTCCGATCTGACAAATCCGAAGGTGTTACTTTTCCCCACTTTTCTCAAAAACTGTTGGTCTAAACACATCAGTCAAAGTGCAGACTGTGCCATGGACATTCCCTCAGAAAATGGACACACAAACATGCTCAACTGACTCCTAACAACAGAGGAGTGCTCACTGACGTGCGTTAAAGGTTAAAAAGTGTACGGACACCATTAGTCTACGTCACAGAAAAATATATTTGAATTCAGGGTGTGTGTTTGCACAAAATCATCAAGTCATCAACTGTAAATCCCTCAAGGAGACTAACATACAGATATGGGTTACTTAAATAACATTTTATTGACTAGACTTTTATATTTTCCAGCTTTACTGCGCTCTCACTGTTGCCTTTCAGTACTAAATTCATTAGTGTGATTATTGTGTATTTTTCTGACTCTTTACTTGAGTCCAACTGATAAATCAAAACCAAATATTGGCCAAAAAGTAATGAGAAATTCCAGATATGTTTGAGGTCATTCAGAAACAATGTGGTCGTGAGGTATTACATGCTGTAGTTTGTCAAACAGCCCTCACAGGTTTTGTTTGTGTGTTTTTACTGTACAGAGTCTAATTTTCATTAGTGTATGATCCTCTGAAACTAAAAACCACTGTGTTTTCATAACCTGAGAATGAGCTGTTTACATTTACATACAGAGCTGGTCCTCGTCCACGGAGTCGGCCATGTTGTTTTTACAGAATGGACAAATCAAACACTGACTCTATAGGGCCATTCCTGTTTTCACATCGGCCACCGTATTTCTCCTACACGCTTGACACACAGTTTCAGCTGGTTTTGCAACCTCACTGCTCGATGCCACTAAATCCTTCACACTGGAACTAAACGAAAATTCAGACCCTGTTAAACAACACATAACGTCATCAGTCAAACAATCTATACGTCCGTCAGATTAAACAATAACCACGTAACAGCATGATATATATGAAACTCAAAAAGCTCTAAATATCATCTAGACTTCACACATACATGAAGAGTTCTCAGTCTCTGATGGGACCGGCTCATGTGAGAAAATAAAATATAAATAAATCAGTCTTAAAATTTGAAAATTTAGTCAACAAACTGAAGTTTTCCTTTAAGTTTCAGCATTAAGATGTTTTATAAAGACAGCCTGGAATAAGCATCGTCAGCTGGTTGCCTCGGGTATGAACACGGTGGTTCTGCTGCGCAGGACTGAAGTATGTTTTTAATCACCAAATAAAGTCAGTCAATCAATTGAGGACACACATGCATGCATAAGACATGTATACACACGCACACACACACACACACACACACACACAGAGTCTCCTGGTTTCTGTTGGCTCAGCTGCTGAGGACTTATGTGCAGAGAGAGTCCAGTCTGGATCAGACTGTCGCTACAGGATTAACCCCTCGATCATACACACACACACACACACACACACACACACAGGAGCACTGATTCATCCACAGACACACACTCATATCTTCAGTTTTACACACTCACACACACTTTCTTTGTGGCGCTCATGTTTTTTACGACGGAGATACAGGCACACCCTCAGCCAGCGTTTCTTTCATGTCTGACTGTAAAAAGTTCTGAGGCCGCTGAGAGAACGTTAAATTTGCACTTTTTACACGACAGCGTTTTACACAGTTTGTGGTCTCCTAAATGGATTTGTTGTCACTTGTTCTGTGTGAGCAGATACATTTGTTGAGTGGTGGTGTTAAAGTGGCTCTCTGTGAGTGTGTTTGTGTTGGTATCGACTGGTCGAGGACCAGACGAGTGGCTGCAGGTGGAAAACACAATTCATTTAATGAACCTCTTCAGTCAGAATTAATAAAACTGCTGCTGCTGAAGTGCAGAGTTTGGGTTCAGGGTTTGAGACTAAAAACCTCATTTTTAGAAAACAACTTTTAAAGTTTTCACCCGGAGCATCTCGCCTACAAATGTGTTATCAACTCATCTCAGATGCAAAATTAATTTCACAACAAATTAAACTTTGAAAAGTAAATGTGAAAGTTTGTCGATCAGAAATTACAAACATGTCACACAGAGTCTCCAGCTCTTTTCACTGAGTTATATACTGTAGTTTATGGCACCCGTCTGCCTGCGACACACACACACACACACACACACACACACACACACACACACACACTCGACCCCAGTCTCTCTGTATAAAGCCCCAGACGATGAGCTGTCTGATTAGAGCTCCTCTCTGGAGTCTGTGAACACACACACTCTCCACGTACAGGCAACAACAGATATATCCACACACACATAAACACACACAGACACTTGCATAAGCTACTGTCTCCACACACACACACACACACGGGGAGATAGTCTCCAGTCTGTAAACCCTCTCCGTTCTCATGGAGATAAGAGGTGCGTCTCATTGTTGGCAGACAACGGTCCTGTTATCATCTTATCAGAGAGCCAGTCCAATCTGGGGGAGGCGGGGCTGCAGAGTGTGTGTTTGACGGGAGGGGGGGTGTACTTTGGTTAAGTGGGGGTCCTTTGTCATGCAACAGGTGCTGTTGTCACTCAATTTGTCTGGTTGCTAAAGACTTCAGAGGTCTGCAGTGTGTTTGCATCAAGAACAAAACACAGCTGACCGTTGAGACGTCAGTTAATCCTCATCCTCGCTCCTGATGGACGGACCAGCGCTCTGTTAGAACAACATGTGACTCATTAGCACTTTGATCACAACGACCTCTGTCAGTGCAGTCTGTCCTTGGTGAGGAGACAGAAGCTGTTTTTACGCAGAGATGGTGGATAGAGCCGCTTCTTTACAACTCTCTTATATTTCTACACAGAACCAAACGACGGCAGCATCACCTCGCTCCACTGTGCGATTTTAGACTGCATGTCGGCATCATTGAAGCAAAGAGGCGTGACATGTAACACAACAGCATCGGCCTCTAGTGTAAAATATAATATACATGTTAGCAGCGCTTTATTAACAAATAAAATAAATTAGAAATAGTGTTGATTGAGGACCAAACTGAAGACAAATTTTAAGTTTAGCTCTGACCCTTAATCAGAGATTATTTACCATTACTGGTGGAAGATATGACAATGGATGGTACACATCAAGATACAGTGATACACTATGCTATAAATTCAATAAAGGAAAATGGTTTAAAATAATCATACATCACATTTTATTATTTTCCATACAAAAAAACCTGCCTCACACGAGACGACACTTGAGATAAACACAAGAGACTCAGAACAGTTTAAAACTAAAATTCTCTCAACTTTGCAGCTCTAAGTTTCCTGAGAACAATAATTCAAGTGTTTCAGGTTTCTGTGTTCACAGCTTCACTCTCCTCCATGTCCGCCCAGATCATGTGACCGAGCGACAAGGCAGCTGGACCCGCGAGGTCACGTGACAGTGTGTCGTGTGTCAGTTCTAGAAACTTGATTTGTGCTTCAACTGCAGCTCAGACCTCAACATGAAACCACGTCTATACTGAGACGGCTAAATCTGAAAATACATCATTTTCTCTGTGTCAGCGCTGCGTCCAAACTAAACCGCCGTTTTTCACACTCAAAAACAAAGCAGCAGATAAATCTAAAAACCACAGTGCTGTGCTTCAGTGTGGACGGAGGAAACTGAGCTTTCTGAGTACTGCGATGTGAATCTGCTCAGACAGAGTTCTCTGTGAGTCCTTGTTCTGCCAGTCTGGTCGATCACACTGTGAACTGTTAACCTGTGTTTGATACAGTGAGGGACAAGATGACTACAAAACAGTTTATTAAACAGTTTAATCTGATGTGACGTCCTGGTGTAGAGGCAATCAAACACTATTTATGCCTGAGAACAACTAAGTTGTGACTTTTGCTTCTTTGAAACACACTGATAGTGATCATGTTCAGCAGGAGGTTTGACCAGCTGGCACTTGAAGCCGTCCTGCTCCTGTCCACAGCATGTGATGGATAAAATCCAGCTGGAATAGAGCAGAAAATTGTGACATGAGCAGTCGTGAGCAAGGCAAGAGACGGCGTATCATCTCTAGTCAACAACTCTCTGTACTTTGAACGACAACTTTCTGGTCGTTGACTCTATAAATCTGCACCTGTCCATCTGTTAACTGAAGATGGGCCTCGAGAGGTTCATCATTTCAAAGCTGCTTGAATGTGTAAACGCTCACACCACAAACGAGGTGTGAAAACACGTTTGGAAATGTCACATCCTGTATTCAGTCGCACGTTGAGACAGCCAGGCCGCTCCTTGTGTTCGTACCACTCGAGGACATTTATTTAATCTTGCAAAGTAGCGCTCCTTTGCTTCGTAACTCAGATTCTCTCATCAGGGAGTGTTTCATTTGCTCTTGTTTTTTGTGTCTGTTTAAGAAGCGTGTCCCAAAGTATGGCCTCTACTACCCAGAATGCAATGTGCCATGACAATGTTGCCTGTTCTCCACAGAAGGAAGAAGATACTGTGTCACATGTAGAGGTGTGTCCATTAATGATCTTTTTATCTCCTTTCTCATTCAGATAAGGAGAAGAAGGAGGTGTCCAAGGAGTCGTCAGAGGCCAGCGTGAGGGAAGAAGTGGGAGGCGCAGAGCAGCCCGTCAAGGAGGCGAAAAAGGAGAAGAAGGAGTCATCTAAAGAGAAGAGGGAGTCGAAGAAGGATTCAAGCAAAGAGCCCAAAGAGGAGGCGAAAAAGGAGTCCAAGAAGGAATCATCCTCCTCCAAGGAGAAGAAGGAGTCGTCAAAGGAGAAGAAGGAGAAGGACAAAGACAAGGAAGGGAAGGAGGCCAGCAAAGAGTCAGGGGACAAGAAGGTGTCCAGAAAGTCGTCAGTAAAGGTGAAAGAGAAGAAGAAGGAGCCAGAAGCAGGAGAGGGCTGACAGGAGCCGTGACGATATGCACACAGACACGTACACAAACACGACAGACATGTCACACACACACACATATAAATATACACACATGTGTATACACAGTGTCCATGTAAACGTATACAAGACGGCATAACTCTGCACCGCACACATCCACATATGCAGCCCTGAAATATATTTACATGTAAATATACTCTGTCAAGGCCACATGTGTCAGTAGCAAACAGTTTCCTCCCAGACACATATTTACATCGTCTAGTAATAACTGATCCTCACACACACACACACACACACACAGTGTCTCTGGCCTGCTGCTGCTGAACCACACCACATCCAGTAGTTTCGTTCTGTGCGCGCTGGGCAGCTGTGGTGAGGTCTGAGAGCGAGGAGAGTGAGGACGAAGGCGGAATCCTCCTCCTCTCCTCAGACATTTCGCTGACTCTCCTTCCTCCTCCTCCTCCTCCTCCTCCTCCTCCTCCTCCTCCTCGTCCTCTTCGTCTGGCCTCAGCAGCAGTTGAACCCGCAGCCCTGCGCCTCCCTAATCCCAGTCAGGCCCCAAACCACCCCCCGCCCACGCACGCTTCTGGATGTGACGTCAGACCCGCCCTGTCGCCCCCTCGCGTGGCACCGGGCCTCACCAGAGCCTCCCCCGCCTCGCCACTAAGAATAAAATGGCCTGCTGCGTCCAGCAGCGCGGCTGCTTCCGGGTAAATCAAGGCCACATCCTGCAGCCGCCGCCGCCGCCGCCTCCGCCCCTTCTGATCTCTGCCAGTCAGCTTTGTTTTTTAAATCTGGGACACTCAAGGACACGCGGCTGCTGATGGACGCATACTTGGTGCTGCGGGGTCGAACCTGAGACTGTTTTTATACGTCTGAAACCAACGGGGTGTTTTCTGGAAAAAGCAGGGTGGTAATCAGGAGGAGAGCCTGCGGGGCCACTGCAACACCCGAGGCTGCTCCTGCTCATCTGCAACGATGTCGTGAAGCGGAGGCGCTCTGAGGCGCTCTGAGGCGCTCTGAGGAGCTCTGAGGCGCTCTGAGGCGCTCTGAGGCGCTCTGAGGCGCTCTGAGGCGCTCTGAGGAGCTCTGAGGCGCTGGTGTCGTCTGTAACATCAGCCACATATTTGACCAGCTCCAGACAGATACAGATTCACAGTAAAATTTATTTGCAGAATGTCAGAAAAACTCGATCAGTAAACTTAAAAAAGGAGCTTTGAAGTGAAACAGTTGGAGATGTGACTGTGAATGTGTGAATGTGTCTGGAGCCAGTTCATGATCTGAGAAACTGTTTGCCTCCCAGATGAAGTCACCACTGTTTGTTTCTGCTAATTGGTCGACAGTTTTACAGACTGGAGCTGGTTGGTGTTGGAGACACACACAGACACACACACACACGCACACACACACACACACACACACACAAACCACACACACACACACACACACAGATAATGTAGGAGCTTTGAGGTGTATTTCTGCCAGACTCGAAGCTTATCGTCTTCAGCCATAGAAGCTGTGCCAGCTTGTAAACGACAATTCCAGCAGCTCAGTGTCTGTCTGTCTGTCTCTCAGCTTCAGGCCATCTGTCTGTCTGTCAGAAAAAAACAGACAGTCTGTCTGTCTGTCTGTCTGTCTGTCTGTCAGCTTCAGGCCATCTGTCTGTCTGTCTGTCAGCTTCAGGCCGTCTGTCTGTCTGTCTGTCTGTCTGTCTGTCTGTCTGTCTGTCAGCTTCAGGCCGTCTGTCTGTCCACTGGGCTCATGTTTTTCTTTTTAGTGTTTTTAATATTTGAATATTGGAACTTTTAGCAGATAAACACAGATACAGTTGCCACGAAGGAGGAGGATAGGTAGAAGAGTCTGTGATGATCCTGTCGGACACGTTACTGTATCACTGAGTGTTTGTAGAGTAGAGGAGGTTTCACCCTGTTGTATTAGCTGATGAAATGTACCAGGCTCCTGTTTATAAAGCCTCACTTCATTCCCAGAGGAGACGCTCTGCTCCTCATTAAACTGCAGCCTGAAGAAGATCCCAAACTGAGCAGTCACAGAATGAAATAAACCTTATTTATGAAATATTTAGTAATAAAACTGTGAGTTACCAAAGAATTCAGTTCCTGCTCTGTCGCCATTTTGTTTGTTGTCGCAGTTATTTGGATAAAAACTGTGTTTCCTTGATGTGATGATCAAGTTGAGTAATTCCATTTTGATTATTGATTATCATTCAGCTACAGGACAGATAACCTGCTGATTTCTCCCAGAAGACGTCACCTCATGCTTTAAGCTCCTTCTGGATTCAGAGTTTCATGATATAAATTCACTCCACAGTTCTTCGCTGGATTGTCTTCCTCTCCTGACAGTCAGAATGTAAGTAGATTATGATTATGACAGATTTTTATGCTATGATGTTAAATTCTTGAAGTGATGTCTCATCATCGATATAACGTCACTTATCTAGACAGGAAGTTCTCTTCATCACCAGAGGCTCGTTGGCTAGAATATACACTGTTAGCTAGAGAGCACAGGAAATGTGATTGAACACTTTAAATGAAATGCATATTTAGTCAGTTATCACCCAGGTGTTTTGATTAATGAAAACAACCTGGATTTATTTTTGTAGTTTTTTCATCAGTCTTATAAAATATAATAAAACTGTACTCATCATGTTAACCTCTGAGATCTGTGAACGCTGCAGGAGAGAAAAGAGAAGCACAGAGAGGTCGTAAACAAACACCGAGGTCAGAGCAGTAAGATGATGACCCAAACTGTCTGCTGGAAACAATCCATCACAGTTAACAGACCAACCCTAAAGCCTGATTTATGGTCCTGCGGCGTACCTACATCATTGCCGTGACGCCATCGTGAACCCTTTGAACTTCTCCGTCACTCCATTTCGTTGCGGTGCAATTCACCGCCAGAGCGGTAGGGGGCTGTGTTCCTTTCCTGAATGGTTATCATCGTCTCCAGTTGATTCTTTGTTTAGCTTGCGGCTTTTTCGGCCACAGTGAACAATGGCGACCGAGAGAGAGAGAATCTTGCTGGAGAGGGAGTTGTTGGATGTCAAAGAAAGTATGTTAATACTGCAACATCTACATCACAACACAAGATGTTTAAAGATGGCGGGGATGGCGCAATCTGGAAATACAGAACCGGAAATGCGTTGCTACCAAGCAAACCAATCACAGCCCTCTCGGTCTGCGCTGGGTCTGCGTCGCCTCGACGTGTAGTTACATTTTTTTGGGAGGTGCACGTCAGGCTATGCCGGGGGCTACAGCGAGTGTAGCCGACGTAGGTACGTTGTTGATTTAACGCAGGACCATAAATCAGACTTAACACCTGTCATAATCAGTGTTGGGCATGTTACTGTCAAAAATGGAATATATAACATATTACCAGTTACCTTACTTTGCAAGTAATAAGTTACTTCTTACACTACTTTTTTGTTACTTACAGCAAAATAACCCCAGAGGAGCTAACAACAGTGAAACCAGCTCGCCAAATGTTTTTGACAGAAAGTTAAAAACATATGTGTTCACGTCAGACTCTCCTCAAACAGCTCTGAAACTCTTTTTACATTTCACGCTGCTGCAGCTCTTAAAATGTTTTATCTTACTTGATTCTCTGACATTTTATGATTTATGTCATCTGTTGTTTTGTTCTGATTTTAAGCCTGTTTTATGTTCATGATGTCTACGTTGTTTTCATGTGAATCACTTAATGCCTTTGTTTTAAAGCGCTTTGTGCTGCATTTTTGGATGAAAAGTTTTTTATATATAAAGTTCATTATTGTTATTATTATTACTTTAATCAGAGTGTGCACAGCTGCATGTAAACAGTATGAGTGGTAACATGTATGAGTGGAATATTCAATATTCAATTTGTGATGCTGTCATGTGATGCTGACGTATTGCGGTAAGCGAGTTGTGTCATTTCCGGTGTTTCTGTGACAGCGTCTCTGTACTGCTCTGGTGAATTCTGCTAGCCTGCTTTCTCACTTCAGTTGCTTTAACGTCTACTTCAAGTCTTAACCCACACTGGTTCTGTTTAAGCACTTATAGCTCTCCGCCTTTCTACGACTTTCTCGCTAATCTCTTAGCTGTTGTTTGCACATTACTAGCCTTGGTAGCTACATTAGCTTTACAGTTAGAGATGGCTTCTCCTTCTGCTCTTTCTTGCTCGGTGTGCCAAATGTTCAGTTATGCCTCTGCCTCCTTTAGCGACAGTGGTAATTGTAATAAGTGTAGCTTATTTGCTGCGTTGGAGGCGAGGCTTAGTGAATTAGAAGCGCGGCTCCGCACCATGGAAAACCATTCAGTAGCTGCGGTAGTCAGTCAGCCCCCTGTAGCCGGTGCGGAGCCACATAGCATAGCCTTAGCCTCTGCTAACTGTCCTCTGGCAACTCCCGTGCAGCCGGGAGGCTGGGTAACTGTTCGTGAGAGGCGCAGCTCCAAGCCGAAGCCCACGGCTCACCACCAGCCTGTTCACGTTTCCAACCGCTTTTCCCCACCCAGTGACACACCCGCTGAGGATAAAACTCTGGTTATTGGCAGCTCTATTCTGAGGAACGTGAAGTTAGCAACACCAGCGGCCATAGTCAAATGTATCCCTGGGGCCAGAGCGGGCGACATTGAGTCAAATTTAAAACTGCTGGCTAAAGCTAAACGTAGATTCAGTAAGATTGTTATTCACGTCGGCGGCAATGACACCCGGTTACGCCAATCGGAGGTCACTAAAATTAATATTGCCTCGGTGTGTGAATATGCAAAAACGATGTCGGACTCCGTAGTTTTCTCTGGACCCCTCCCAAATCTGACCAGTGATGACATGTTTAGCCGCATGTCATCATTTAACCGCTGGCTGTCCAGGTGGTGTCCAGCAAACGATGTGGGTTTTGTTAATAATTGGCAAACTTTCTGGGGAAAACCTGGTCTTATTAGGAGAGACGGCATTCACCCCACTTTGGATGGAGCTGCTCTCATTTCTAGGAACCTGGCAAATTTTATTAGTAATTTAAATCCCTGACAACCCAGAGTTGAGACCAGGACAGAGAGTTGCAGTCCTAAACGCCTCTCTGAGCTTCTAGTTCAGTTACCCAGCCATAGTTTTCATAGTTTTATACAAACGGTGTCTGTCCCCCGACCACCTAAATTATTTAAATCTAAAATTAAACAAAGAGGAGTTGTGCATAACAACCTCATAAAAATTAAAACCTCTTCTGTGACAGAAAGACAAAACAGGAGAATTAAATGCGGACTGTTAAATATCAGGTCTCTATCGTCTAAAGCAGTGTTAGTAAACGAATTAATATCAGATAATCATATTGATTTACTCAGTCTCACTGAAACCTGGCTGTGTCAAGATGAATATGTTAGTCTAAATGAGTCCACTCCTCCCAGTCATAATAATACCCACATTCCTCGAGGCAGCGGCCGAGGAGGGGGAGTTGCAGCCATTTTTAACTCTAGTCTGTTAATCAGCCCTAAACCTAAACTAGATTATAATTCATTTGAAAGCCTCGTTCTTAGTGTTTTACATCCGACCTGGAAAACCTCGCAGCCACTTTTATTTGTTATAGTGTACCGTGCTCCTGGCCCGTATTCTGAATTTGTATCTGAATTCTCAGAGTTTTTATCCAGTTTAGTTCTTAAATCAGATAAAGTTATTATTGTAGGCGATTTTAACATTCATGTCGACGTTGATAATGACTCCCTGGCTACCGCGTTTATCTCATTAATAGACTCCATTGGCTTCAGTCAGGGTGTACATGAACCCACTCACTGTTTTAACCATACCCTCGATCTAGTTCTGACGTATGGAATTGAAATTGATAACCTAAAAGTCTTTCCACAGAATCCCTTGCTATCAGATCATTATCTGATTACTTTTGATTTCTTTTTACTCGATTACACGCCACTCAGCAACAGTTACTATACTAGATGTTTATCAGATAGTGCTGTCACAAAATTTAAGGAAAAGATTACTTCGTCGTTAAATTCAATACCAATACCTTCAGTAACAGAGGTTTCCCGTGCC